AACATAGGATCTACATCTACTGGACACTAGGACATTGAAGAATCAAATACATGGAGCATGCATTTAAAACCTTCAGCTATATTTCATTTGTAGTCATTTCTTCATCATTTGCCATGCGGGCAGAGTCAATGTGCTCAGTCATCAAATGCTGGTTAAAGGCAGAATGTACCATGCCATTGGTGCTGCAAATCAAACATAATCATCTCAATGTGCAGATGTTAGCAGCAATGACTTGAAAGGAGGTGAATGCTGGCCAACAGCATCTGAACACGTGTGAAACTGCCAAGGGTGATGCGAGATGAGAGAAACATCACTGCATCATTTGTTATGTAACTATGATGACGGACTGCACTAAAATCCATGACAATTGTTATGGTTGATGTGGTCTGAGATGGGCAGGGGTAAGCACAACAGGCACTCCCTTTTTGATGTAATGTGTTGGTCACTCATCCGACACAGCACTGTAACCAAGTTGATGCATATGCTAGGACCAGGACCACGATGCAGTAGACAACAAGTTGCTAAAGATGCAGTTCCACTGCTTGGACCAGTGTGGGGCCAGACAGACTATGCTGCATCATTCTAATACACTGTGCTCTGCACAATTGGAACAGGTAATAATGTGATGTGATAGATGCTGAGGAACTGGGAGCTGCCTTCTGAGGAGGAGGACAGGACAAAGGGGAGGAAGAAGCTCTTTTTGTACAAAACGGAGCTCAGCTGCATCGAGAATTACAAACCAGATAGGACCTGATTGACACCCATTTCCAGTAGATGAGAGCTGGGTGCAGCAGACCATCATTGACTGTAGAATAGTCATTGGTCATAATGCCAGCACTTGGCTGACATTGTGGGGCAAACTGTAGTCTCTTTTCTGACTGTAAATAAAAGCTTCTGTCTGGAATTGTCCAATTGCCTGCATGTGATTCTCCCCAATTGGACAATGACAAGATGAGGCAGATGGAGACAAGTAAACTGTGTGTCCTGGTGGTTTAAATAGTGACAAAGATGAGAGTTCATATCAATCATGATGGCTATGTGCCCTGAGCAGTGTGGCTCTGTGGCTGCAGCACCATTATGTTGCCAGTGAGGGGCACTGCCGGATTGCCAATGCATGGACAGTTGGACAATATTAAGTAAAAAATCATGCATTGAGAATTAAGATTATCAATTGGGCTCATCATGTGATTGATTTGCATATGCAAGAAGCTACAGATACTCACTACAGGAGATGATTACATTGTGGTAGTATAACTAGACTTGTAATTCAGAGGCTCAGGCTAATTGGTCTGGGAACAGCGACTTTTAAAGATGTCATGGAAGCAAGGGATGCTGGAACAACATATGGTAAAATAGGGATATAATCAGAGGGACATAATAAGGATGGTGTAGGTGATTAATGAGTTTGGAAAGGTAGAGAGATCTCATTAGGCCTTGCAGTGAAAAACCTCGATGCAACTTGCAATTAGCCAAAAAAATGTAAGATTAAGCCACCAGTGTATAATTTCTGGTCTGAATGGAAGGTTATGGCCTCAGTGAGAGATTATCTGTTTCCATAAGTTATGAAGTTACTTGCTGTACGCAAATAATTGCTTGGCAGTACAGAACTTGAAAATGACTATAAACAGACATGAAATGTAAACTTTTTGACTTGCACTCATCAGGACTGAAATGCACGAAAAAACTAATTTAGACAGGAAACGACCACATAAACTACATGAGAAGAAGGTGCTGATTCATTTGGCTATGGTTGGTATGGAGATGCAACAGGAACTGTTAACCATCAATCTTCATTCATTGAATCAGAGATAGTAGGAACTGCAGATGCTGGAGAATCCGAGACAACAAGGTGCAGGGCTGGATGAACACAGCAGGCCAAGCAGCATCATAGGAGCAGAGAGGCTGACGTTTCGGGCCTAGACCCTTCATCAGAAAAGGGGGAGGGGAAGGGGGTTTTGAAATAAATAGGGAGAGAGTGGGAGGCGGATAGAAGAGGGATAGAGGAGAGGAAACAAACAGGTCGAAGAGGCGGGGATGGAGCCAGGAAAGGTGAGTGTAGGTAGGGAGTTATGAAGGGGATAGGTCAGTCCAGGGAGGACGGACAGGTCAAGGGGGCGGGATGAGGTTGGTCGGTAGGAGATGGAGGTGCGGCTTGAGGTGGGAGGAGGGGATAGGTGGGAGGAAGAACAGGTTAGGGAGGCAGGGACGAGCTGGACTGGTTTTGGGATGCGGTGGGGGGAGGGGAGATTTTGAAACTTGTGAAATCCACATTGATACCATTGGGCTGCATTCATTTGCCTACAAAACTCAGGCCTTGTTTCTTTTTCTTTCATAGGATGTGGACATTGTTGGTAGGGCCAGCTTTTATTGTCAATCCCTAAATATAATTTAGCTGCGTGGTTTGTGAGACCATTTCAGAGGGCATCGAGAATCAACCACATTAATGTGAGTCTGGAGTCACATGTAGGTTGAACTAGATAAGGGGAACAAACTTGCTTCGACCAAGGACATTAGTGAACCAAGTGGATTTTATAACATCGAGTTGTTTTGCTTGAAGGAGAAGAGGCTGATGAGGGTCAAGATTGAAATGTATAAAATTTCAAGGGGTATAGAAAGAGTAGACAGGAAGGAACATTTCTCCTTGCTGGAGGGGGCATAGATTTAGCTAAAGGCCAAAAGGTTTAGAGGGGATATGAGGAACTTCTTTTCACTCAGAAGTCTGGAACTCACTGCCTGTAAACATGGTAGAGCCCTCATAACATTTAAGTATTTAGATGTACATTTGCAATGCCAAGGCATTCAAGGCTATGGGCTAAGTGCTGGAAAATGGGATTGAATTGTTAGGTGGCTGTTCCTAATAAGCACAGACTCAATGGGCCAAAAGGCCTTGCTCTGAGCTGTAGAGATCTATGACTTTATGCTAACAATTAATACTGTCTGTCATGGTTATTGTTACTGATACTAGCTTTACATTCTAGATTATGTTGATTTGAAATTCTACCAGCTTTCATAATGAGATTTGAACTTCTGTTCCCAGATCAATTAGTCTGAGCCTCTGGATTACAAGTCTACTTATATTACCACAACGTAATCATCTGTAGCTTCTTGCACATGCAAATCAATCATATGATGAGCCTAATTGATAATCTTAATTCTTAATGTGTGATTATTTACTAAATATTGTCCAAAAGCAAAATCGCATCTAATTTTGGACATAATCATTTGAATTTTTCAAGCACAGGCTAATTGAACCCACAAATTCAAGCAGAATTAGGTGGTGATCTTTAGATTAATCAGGACCCATTAATTGTCCAGATATCCCAAAATAATTCAAACCATTGATGTGCAATTAAAATAACTTCCAAACCTTTTTGTTTCTCGTATAATCACAATTTATTTTTATTGTAAGATTACATTATCAAAAGATGCAATTAGTTTATGCAGATGGCATAGTATTACGAATTAAGCAAATACAAAGAATGAAAATATTTTCAAAGTTAAACATTATCAGTTGTGTCATTGAATAGGTCATCAAATTCATCCTCCACTGCACTAAATTATTGGTGTTAAGTGGATGTTAACTCATCTTTTACAAAAAATTACAGAGACAGAGAGAAAAGTCACAAAGTTGCAAGCCTACGTTTCCAACAGGTGGTTGTAGAGCAACTTTAGCAGAGGTTAGAAAGTAAGTCATGAACATACTCTCGGTTGGATACAGGTTAGGGAAGAGGGAAACTTTTTTTAACTACCATTCTCAATTTATCAAGAGTCTGTAGGAATATTTAAATAATTGGGAATGGAAAGAAAAAAAAGCAAATAAATTGTTAATTTTAAATTAACCCCGTACATAACATAGGCATGTGATTCCAAGCGAATAAAACTCATTCTGCAAAAGCTAAACCTTTGGTGAGGCTGGTAGGCAGTATCAATTTATATTCAATTTCATTGTGACACTAGAAATAAATTTTCCCTCAGATGTAGTATCACAATTTTCCCTTAAACTAAAACCTTAGCTTGGCAATTGTAATGAACATTTAAATGTGTTTATTTTATGTTATTTTGCCCACTATTTTAACACAGAATTTTCCATTTATTTAACAGCAAATTAAGTTTGTTATTAAATAAAAATATGATCTCTTCAATCATTAGAAGTAGCAACAACAGTTTTAAGCTTATTTGTGTTAAATAAGCAAAACAGGAAACAAATAAAGCTACACAGGAATTATAAACATGTGGGATAAGTGAATCTGAGTTTATCCAATCCTTTGAAGCACATGGCATTGTATTTTACTTTAGCCACGTATGCAGCATATACACCTCAGCTTCCGTTTAGGATGTGATTATAAAATAACCAATAGGGGACTTTAAACCCAGAATTTGTTTTTCACTGAGAATGGAGTTTTTTCAATGAACAATAGCAAAATCTCCACCCACAATGACTTTTAATTTTTTTTCTAGTCATATTTTGTACTCCACCAGTAAACAGTTTGTTCATGACATTGTTAACCCTCTTCCTGAATTTTGTTGCTTCCCTTTTAGCTTCTGAATTTGTATGTGACAGTGTTTGGGGGTAAAATGCATGAGCAGAACACACTTGCAGCTTCAGAATTTTGTCATATATTAAATATAATCTGGAATGTACCTTCAAGATATTATACTTGTAAAGCAAAATGGCTTGTTTATTTTCTCAAAGATGAAATATGGTTCAGGTCCTGCAGTTCAAAGTACTAAATGACTTTGATTTGCTTCTTCACGTTGTTTATACTATTGTAGATTTGCAAACAGAGAATTGATCAGGAGATAAACAAGAACTGAGAAAAATACATTCTACAAATTCTGACATTAAAATAGAACCATCAGCATATTACATCTCTGATATACAAACTATAGCTTCTTTAAATGTTTGTTCAGTATAATTCATATTCAAGCAATGAAAATAATGCTAATATTACTTATAATTTATTGTTTAAAATGTTAACTGTTATATATAAGCAACTTTATTAATTGAGTGTTACCAATGAACAAGCAGTGCTTATTCCTGAAGTGGTCAATGATTGTGAGGTTGGTGGTGCACTCCTGTCATTTGTATCAGTTTTGCCGCTAACTAATTCCTCTGTGTTCCTTTCCGGCTTCAATAAGATAATATAACATTTGGGAACAAAAAGACATGCAACCAAGCCAAAACTAGATGCCAAAATGGCAAACATTTCAACAGCAACCATATATTTTCCCCGAGTGCTTAAATAGGCTGGGATAAAAGAAATCCAAACAATAAAAAAGACAAGCAAGGCAAAAGTCATAAACTTAGCTTCATTAAAGTTATCAGGTAATTTCCGAGCAATGAATGCAAAAACAAAGCAAATAGCAGCCAATAATGCATCATACCCTAACACGCAACACAGAAATACTACAGAGCCTTCATTGCATTCCATAATTATTTTGATATTTTGAGACTGTGTATTCTTGACAGGGTAAGGGGGGAGAATTATTAACCAAGCTGCACAGAGACAAGCATGGCATGAGACAAAGATCAATGCAATAATTCTTTGCTGCAAAGGGCTGAAAAGTTTTTTTGTTGTGCCTTCGGGTGACTTTGCTTTGGTTTCTCTGGCTTTCAGCATCAGATTAACAGCCTTTGATAACATGCATGAAAGGCAGGTAGCAAAACCAATAGCAAGAAGAACCTGTCGTGTCATACAGGACCATGCCACTGGTTCACCAACAAAGACAACTGAGCTGAGAAAACATATCACTAATGAAAATAACAGCACAAAGCTTAGTCCACGATTGTTAGCTTTTACAAGGGCAGTATCCTTTCGAACCAAGTAAGCTACAGCAATAGCTGCAGCAACGCAAGCTCCAAATATTGATAGTGCTATTAATGCCATTCCCAACACATCATTGTAACCAAGATATTCGATCACTTTATGCACACATTCATCTCTGTTTGCATTGGACCAGTAATCTTCAGGACACTGAATGCATTCTCTTGAATCTGTTAACCAGACATGAAAATTTTGTTATTTTGTTGACAGAGATATGTACTATTTAGGCCTGCAAATAAATATCAAATTATTGTATCATATTTGAAAAGAATCTCATTTCTCATTAATAGGACAGAATGTAATGCTCGCCCCTGTGGTGATGTGATGCAGAGGAGCATTTATTCTTGTGGTAAGGTAGGGGCCCATGCCACTTTTCTACCATTGTTCAGGGTAGGACGGTCTCATCCCTCCACCATTGGTATTCATCCAGCAGTGGGTGGGGGATTGTTACATTCGAAGACCAAAAAGCAAACTCTTTTGGGATTGCTTGAAGGCTTCCAGTGGGTATTGCTAACAAGGGGTGCCTCTCTTCAAAGCATTCAGTATCTGATCAAGGGACCTGGTCATGGCAAAGTAGTGGGGAAGGCTGCTGAAAGTAATCACCTGCCCTTGCTGCCATCCCTACCTCATCCAAGAATCCCCCTCCATCACTCATTCTGTCTAGAGATTCTGGGTCTCAGGTGGGGACGGGCCCATTCTGACACCCGTCCAGTGACAATGCTGAGCAAAGTGCTGCCAGCCTTTGATTCTGGGAAAACATGCCAAAGTCCATTTAGTAGGCCTTCATAAAAAGAGATGATGCGGGGCTCTACTCCTGTGGTCTGCACTGAATAGAGCTCTTGGCATTTGTACTCATTGGGAAAAGCGAGTGAATTGGTCTCATCCAATCCCATGATGACTTTTGTATCACAATGAAGAATTGAGTCTATACATCCATACCTTTCAGTCACATGACTAGCCATTCCTATATGGATTGTATGGACGTAGGCAAGTTTACAAATGCCTCCCTAAATAAGATATATAGTTGTTCATGTTGTTTTGTTATTTTATCATTCAGAATACCATGGGGTGAATCTTACGTGCTCCCCCATCCCTAGCAACATATAAAAAAGTCAGTCAGCAGTTCGCCAACTTTATAGATGGCTGCCCACAGTGACACTTACTGGGGGAAATCTTCACATATTGCAACAGAAAGTTCCATCCCTCGGCAAGGCCTGTCCAATTCTCAAAAGCTGCATGTCAATTTGATTGGCTAGCAGCTGAGTAGCTCCAGCAGTGTTAGAACACAGTAGGGTTAGCTGCTGAGACTACAAGCAAATCCTGAGAGAAAGATCATGGACGTCAGCTGGAAAGCTATATCAGCAGCTTTTAGTCAGGGAGGGTTTGCAAACATTACCAAGAGGAGGATGGAAGGTTACATTTGAGGGGCATGGGGCGGAGGCACAAAGGTGAGGTGCCATCTTCACAGAGGATGCCCTAAAGCAGCTACTCCAACCCCATACTTCCCATCTTTTACCTCAAGTTGGGAAAATAGCCGACTAGCCATTTTCCTTCCGTCTTCCCCAGCCAACCATATTGCAGCAGCAGATTGGAAATGAGGCCTTAAATAACTTTTCATGAGCAACTTAAGGGCTGTACTAGGCCTAAAGACATCTTACCTGCCAGCTGTAATATCAGAGATAGCTCAGTGGTGGGCATGAAAGTGGTGTACTAGCCATCCGTTTTATTTTACATGCAAACCCCACCTGCAAGTACACAAGCAAGGAAGCCATAAAACTATACATCCCCACTTCATTGGGGGTGGCACGGTGGCTCAGTGGTTAGCACTGCTGCCTCACAGCACCAGGGACCTGGGTTCAATTCCACCCTCAGGCAACTGCCTGTGTGGCATTTGCACATTGTCTGCATGGATTTCCTCTGGGTGCTCTGGTTTCCTCCCACAGTCCAAAGATGTGCAGGCTAGGTGGATTGGTCATACTAAATTGCCCATAGTGCTCAGGAATGTGTAGATTAGGTGGGTGGGATGCTCTGAGGGTCAGTGTGGACTTGTTGGGCTGAAGGGCCTGTTTCCACAGTGTAGGGATTCCATGATTTTACTACAAGGGTTTTATTTCTTAATACAATTGGCACACCTTACCATTGGTTCTCTGTTTTTAAGATATTTACTTGCAATTTTATCTTCCAAATTCTAAATGCCTTTTCAAAATGTCTTAGCAATCTTCTTTCCTTATTTACTGCCTAGAAATGCTATGCTAACATATTAAAGAGATGTGATAAGGCTAATGATGAGAATATTGCAAGTGGTATGTTGGATATCTGACACTGTGCATCATGCAGTGGTCATACTTAGGGGCACACCAGGAATTTCTTCCACTCCAATTCCCTGAAATAAGGTATGTGAAGTGGAGATCAAGGATCTTCTTCATCAAGGCTAAAAAGTCTGGACCATGTACCACTATACCTAAACAGCTTCCATCCAACTTGTACTAACTGATGACAGTGTAGTACTAATTGGTTATGAAGCAGGCTTTAGAAATTATCTGAGAACCTTTGGTTTTTATCTCAACCCTAACGTTACCACCTCTAGTCCCCTGAGAGAATCATTCAGTATAAAGCGAGCTAAGAGAAAGGAAACATTAGTAAAATTTAGAGAATAGAACTAACATAAGATATTAAATTTAAATATCTGTTACAACAGAACTGTGGATTACGGTCTAGATTTTCACCATAATGGAGAGCAGATGAGAATGGAACTTACAAATCTCGTCCCCAAATTCAGCACTTTCCAGTTTCACAGGACAGGAATGGGGTTAGTTTGGAACTTATGTATGTGCAATTCATGGAAGCCTTTTAAATCATTAGCTACCTCTCCAAAAGTGGGATTTTGGTAGCCTCGGAGTGTGAAACAAAAATATGGAGACAAGGATCCCTTTTGGAGAGGTAAGATATCCCTCCGGATACCCCAAGACACCTTTGATGGAGATAAAGTACCCTTTGTTGGATGTCAGATGCTCTTTGGAGGAGATCAGTTGCTTTTCAGGGAAGATCAGATGCACTTTGGAATTGTTTAAAGTAGACATAAATGTGCATTAAAACTCCTTGTCATCAAGCTTATTGGAACTGTCCACAGACCTGTCAAAGGAGCCTGTCAAAAATATCAAGCGGACCTGAAAAAGGGATTTATAGAGCGGCTGTCAAATGAATCAAGAGAAACTATTAAAGGGACATAGCAAAAGTGTTGGGAGGATTCATCAGAGGACGCTGTCAAGCTTTAAAGGCGTTTAAATGACATGCCTTTTTAGTATTTTGTTAAGCATTGCCTAGAGTGTTAAAATATATGCTCATTATTTCACTCAGTCTGGTGAGATAGGCCTCAGGGTTTCCATTACTGGATTATTGTAGTTTGACTGATTTTCCAACCATTAATTATCAGAGTAGATTTCCTTTCACTTCACAGTTTGATTGAAGTTGTAGACTCTTTGATGTGTAACTTTGAATTCCAATGCTTCCTGTTATAAGTGATCTGCACTTGCATGAAATACTTGTTAAAGTGTTTTATTTAATTGAAGGACTGTAGATATAATAAATGGGTTTTTATGGAAGAGAGGGTTTACTTTTCAATATAATGAAATCAGCAATAAACACTTAAAAATGTATTTCATCTCAAGTCTGCTTTGATTCTGAAGTCCACTCATGTTCAATACTAAATGAGTTGGCATGGTATGTGTAAAGTCACAAGGTAATGACAGGATGGGCTTGGGTTGGCATGAGTTTGTGCTAGGTTGGAAGAAAGGCTGTAAAGGATCATGGAGGTGTAGATGTCACACCATGGTATAGAGAGAATAAGGTGTCATGGAGGATGGATAGAGGACACATCCTGGCATGGAGGCCATAGAAGCTGTTTGAAGTAACCATACGCTGACATAGGGAGGGCACGAGAGGACATAGTGTTTGATTGAGAGTGCAAATAGTGGAACTGGGTGCATGAGGAGTCATGGGGGTAGGTGAGAGACATGCAATGGCATGAATGGGAGAGATAGAGGGATGAGAGCTGGAGAGATGTTTCTTTAGTTTTAAACTTCAGCAGCCGTGCTGGATCCGAGTCATGTCATCAGGCCAGGCCTAGAGTCCAGGTCACCTTCACACCCAGCAGCCTCCTCTATCTTTCTGGAGCTGACCACTCCAACTTCAAATATAGCCCGCCAGACTGAGGTGAGTTTAGGGCAATCACACAAGAAACCTCACTGGGCCTTGCAGATAGAAAATTTGCATGAAATTCAACAAAAATGACACTTAGCCGATTTCTGGTGAAATACAGCTCTATTTTTCTGTGCGCCACAGGTTTTCCAATATAGTTTGATGTAGTTATGTCACTGCAAATTTATTTTACTAATTGTTTATATTAACATTGAATTGTCAGTTATTCAAGTGAATCAGTTATTAAGTTTGTGCTGATTACACACCGACACACCATTCTGGAGTCTTGTTTGCAGCTGCAGAAATGACTGTCTGGTCCCCTAACTAATTAATCCCTTCTCAATGTCACTTGTATTTTCTTCTTCCTCCCCTCCTGGACAGTTAGGCCACTTGTGGTGTCAGGAGCTTGGCTCTGTTGAATTGCCTTGAGGAACCAGCACCCTCTTCAGCTTCAAAATGGAAAACCAATTTGCGAGTGGAACCCCAGGGGACGCCTACACTATCTGCCTGATTCTCTATGACTGTCTGGAGGTTGCCCATTCTTTTCTTTCCTCCAGTACCATGATCTGTGGTGTGATACATTCTATGCTATTTAAACGTTAATCTTTCGATCTTCTTCAAGAATAGTAACGCATCTTAATCAAATTCATAGTTGAACTGTATTATTTTAACACTTGCATTAATAGTAATACTATGTTTTATTGTATGTGAAAGTATAGAGTAAACATTTGGGGTAATGTTACAAAATTAGCTTCATAACAGGCAGCATTACTTACACTAGGATTTTAGATTTGTAATCCGCAATAGTTTCCATCCATTAGTTATAAAATATGATTTCATTTTGTTTTTATTATTTCAGTATAATATTTCATATTAAATGATTTCACTAACCTGTCTCATTGGTTATCTCGCCATCAGCACATGGAATGCAGTCAAAGCAGCAAACAGGTTCTCCTTGGCGAATTCCCTTCCTGGTACCAGGCTGACAGCTCTCACTACATACAGAAGATGGAGGCTGCCCAAATGAAATAGTGATACAAAATAAGTAGGATTTTCTAAAGTGTAGAACATAGAACAGTACAGCACAGTACAGGCCCTTCGGCCCATGATGTTGTGCCGAACTTTTACCCTAAACCTAAGGTCTATCTAACCTCCACCCCTACCTTATACCATCATCCATATGCCTATCTAATAGACACTTAAATGCCACTAATGAGGCCGACTCCACTACCCTCTCCAGCAATGCATTCCACGCCCCTACCACTGTCTCAGTAAAGAACTTACCTCTGACGTCTCCACTATATCTACCTCCACTCACTTTAAAACTACGTCCCCTCGTAATAGCTACCTCCACCCTAGGAAAAAGTCTCTATCTACACCTCTGACCATTTTGTACACCTCTATCAAGTCACCTCTCATCCTTTGTCGTTCTAAAGAGAAAAGCCGTAGCTCTCTCAATCTTTCCTCGTAAGGCCTTCCCTCCGTTCCAGGCAACATCCTGGTAAATCTCCTCTGCACCTTTCCAACGCTTCCACATCTTTCCTGTAATGAGGCGACCAGAACTGGACACAATACTCCAGGTGTGGCCAAACCAGGGTTTTGTATAGCTGGAGCATAATATCACGGTTCTTGAACTCAATTCCTCTATTAATGAAAGCTAACACACCGTACATAATTTACAAAAAAAAAGACCACAAAATAATGTGATATTTTTCTCGTGGACCAGAAAATTACAAGTTAGGAAAGCTGCTTACTTAAAACTATAGGATAGTAAAACCTATTTATATCAATAGTAGTATACATTTTATGACACCTATGACCAGGCTAATATCCTTTTGAATACATAAAATGATAACAACTCTTCAATGAATCGGTGAGACCACATCTAGAGTACTGTGTATAGTGCTGCTTACCATACTTACAGAAGGATGTAAATGCATTAAAAGCAGCTCAGAGAAGATTTTCTCGAGTAATAGATTGTCTTATGAGGAATGACTATACAGAGAACGCCCTGGAGTGTAGAAGAGGCAGAGGTGACATAATTGAACCATATAAAATTCTGAGGGGACTCTACTGGATAGATTCTTCATAACCAAGGGGTTGAAAAATTAACAGGGGTATGCAGGAATGTAGAACTGAACACTAATCCAGGTGTCATAGAGGTCTACAGCCAACAAAAGACCTAGCGAATCTGTACCAGTTGAAAACAACCACCTAACTATTCTAATTCCATTTTCCAGCACTGGGCTCATAGCCTTGCATGCCTAGGCATCACAAGTGCACATCTAAATACTTCTTAATGTTATGAGGGTTTCTGGCTCTACCATCCTTACAAACGGGGAGTTCCAGATTGACACCACTCTCTGGATGTAAAGATTTCTCTTCACATTCCCTTTAAACATCCCGCCCCTTCCCTTATACCTATAACCCTTGGTCATTTTTCCCTCCACCAAGGGGAAAAGTTCCTTCCTGTCTACCCTATCTATGCCCCTCATAACATTACGCATCTCAATCATCTCCCACGTCAGTCTCTTATGCTCCAAGGAAGACAACCCCATGACTAACAAATCTCACTTCATAAATAAAACTCTCAACTCCAAGCAACATCCAGGTAAATCTCTTCTGCATCCTCTCCAGTGCAATCACATTCCTCCTGGGGACTCTCAGTTTTGAAGTCATACTGACTGGAAAGAAATTAAGATACTGGCAACATACGTGTGTGCAGTATCACTTTTGTGTGGGGGCTGATCTGAGGATTTGTAGTCCTGTATCAATTATTTAAAATGAAATGTGCCTTTTTTTATTTCAAGAATAATTTGCCTGTTAATTCAAGTGTAATTTGTATTGGTTCTGATTTGTGTTAAAGTAAAAGCCACGAAATGTGGAACCTTTTTGACATTTTCTTCATTTGGGGGTCATGCAGCAAATTTGATTATTTTGGTTTACAGTTCCCCCATGGGATCATAACAATTGAAATAACTCATTCAAATGATAAATCAACGATGTATTAACACACAGGTTCAGGACCTACTATGCAAAGCTATTGCATACCAAAGTGACAAATCTGAGAAGGGTAATTCTTTTCAGGCTTAGCAGCCATCACCAACTTGAGAGAAAGAAGATGTTCCTTCTGCCCTTATCCCTTGCAATAGAATCTCTACTAGGAAGCATCAGTGAAACTTACGGCTTCCCCCTGGCTAATTTTCCAGTTTGCAATTACAGTCACACATTAAATGCAAATCTCTTTGTCTCTACCAGCACCACCATTCCATCCCCACAATCCTCCCTGATAACTGCTCCACACTCCCTCCACCAGTTTCATCCACCTTCCACCTCATACAACACAAGCACACATGCAAGTGAACATGTACAAACAAACACATTTCTAGAAGTTGTTACAGAGATAGTAGG